GGATTATCCCGAGGTACCGGTTCCTGTCAGTTGCACATCTGAAGTCAAATCTGTTAAAGATGCAGAATACCTCCAGTCCCCGGCAGGGAAATGCAATAATTAAAAACAATTAGCAGATTTTGCAGGGAAATGTGTCAAAAGGTACAACGCGTGTGCTTTAGGTTTAGCTTTTTTTAAACAAGAGGGAGTTGCTTTTATACAGCAATCTGGATTAAAAGGGAGCCTGTCAAAACTGAGAGCTCAGCATTGACTTTGCTTGACGTTTATCACATACTGAAGGCTTTAGATGATCTGTAATCACAAAAGTATGTGAATTTCCAAACCGGTCTATGCCAGTCCCGGAGAACTACCAACCCCCCAGCCAAATGTGATTAGATTTGAGATTGAGAGTAAACACAGATGTGTTATGTTGTAAAAATGCAAAAGCATATGTGTGTTGACTTTTACTGTGGGCGTCAGTGTGCTGGTGTCATGCTATTTACCCTGCTCTCTCGCCTGACCCTAGCAAGGGAATTTTAATTTTTGCTCCAGGTGGGTGATAATGGAGAGCCTTGCTGTGATTGTGCTCAATTCCAGGCTTCCTAATAAATATACAAGGAGGTTAAAAGAGATAATAAATATGGTTCATTGCTTCTATCACAGGGAGATAAAATTGGATGGATTATTTTCTTATGAAAGAGGAAGAACAATCTAAAACACTTAATGCGTATACTTTAGCATGACATTTTGTCGGAGAGGTAGTGCTCCTAAGAAGCAATCTAAGAATTCACTTAGCTCATTAAAAAGTTCAGGTTAACAAAAGAAAACTTGGAATAACTTAACAAGATATTGCAGATTTGAATAGCTGTCAGACTGTTTTTCACAATTCTGTAAAGTGTAGTGCTCGTGTTAGATAATATTTCAGTTCAGTAGCAGTTACGTAAATGTGTTCATTTTGGTTTAGAAAGGCTGATGGAGATATTACTTTGGTAGCCTGGCAGTGTTTTGAACACATTTTTCAAGCCTTCCAGGAAAACAGAACAGAGTTGTCAGCTGTCTATTTAGGGCCGTAGAAAGTTGTGACACTGCATTGCGAAACGCACCGGGCTCTCACGGCAGAATTCATGTCCATCGCCCTGAAATCTTGTCTCCCTGAAAACCCGCCTGCGATTTTGGGAGGCACAATTAAGCACCCTGCCCAGTCTCCTATCTCCATCTCCCACCCACCTCCACAGCCCTCAGCGGTGTGCTTCTGCCACCGGTACCATGCCAGCACCGGTTCAGAACAGAAGTCACACTTATGGCACTGATTCCTTCTTTTTTGTATCAGGTGTCCATACAACTGCTTGTGCTGTCCCCTGCTTGAAGCTCCTTCTGCTCCTGCCTCTGCCTGCGGGGCCTCAAGCCCCTTTTCTGCATGCACATCCTAACTGCTAGGCTAGAAGCCAGGCTAGTGCTGCAGGAGAGGCACGTGGAAATGTGTTCCCTGCTGCAGCTGAGGATGGAGAGGGACCCTGTTTAGCCCAAAGAGAACGACTGCGCAGTCTGGTACTGAACACAGTCATCAGAGTGGCCTCTCCATGTACCTTATGTTTGTTTTTTCAGTTTACATATTTTATATGATAGTTTAATGCAAAATGCACAAACAGGGATCCAAAATCCTTTCCTTCCAAAACTCTAGCCAAAGAGCTATGTAGTCACGCCATCTAATAACACCTATTTATGTGGTAATAAAAATGCATCACTGTTAATTCAAGAGACTAATAGGAAATGGATAGAAGGAAGCTATTTTGTGAGTAATATGTAATTAGCAAATATAGCAAAGTCTTCCACAGAGTCTGTCGTTCTGGGAGGAGTGATTTCTGTAGTTACGTGGTTTCCAGTCATCTTGCCCCAAGACCTAAATACCAGCTGACTTGAAAAAAAAAAAAAAGGCCTTGCTGATTATAAGATCCTGCTCTGGATAAGAAGCATTTTGGGGAAATAAAGTGTGTGTGTATATATATATATATATGTGTGTATATATATATATAAAGTGTGTGTATATATATATATATATAATATATATATAAAAACATATTTTTCTTTTTTTGGAAAGCACTGCAGGCCATTGGTAGGATTTACTACATGAAGAGACTCTCATATCAAACCCATCCTTTTATCATTTATTAAACACAGCAGAAATGATTTGTTTTATATCATATATCCTTAGATTTTATTGAGCAGACAAAATACTGGGCTTCCACTAGGTATGTATTTTGACTTCTGTCCTTACAGTGCAGCACGCTCACAGCACTACTGCCCTTATTATTTGTAAGGATGCTGTGTGGTTATCACGGCAGCCTCATTTACTGCTTCCAGAGATTTATGCTTTTATGAGTTAGTGAAGGAATGAGGAGAAGGGTGCAAAAGGCTGAGACACCTATGAGAGTTTCTGGGTAAGTTAGAGAAGGTTTACAGGTACGGATACTGTCAATTAGGTGGTACAGCTGGAAAAATCAGTCAAGCTTTCAAGCATACAAGTCTTTTTTTCAAATCTGAAAATGAATCAGCAATTTCCAAAGCTCAACACCAACTGAGAACATCTGCTTAGCGTTTTGTTAGGTCTGTATCAGCTAGATCGTCTCTGAATTAAGGTTGGTGGCATCCCAGGAGTACAGGGGCTGTTCATCAAGGAAGGGAGAGTGTGTTACAAAAATAGTTGTCACCTGTGAGAAAGGAGGAGGGAGTTAAAACCCGTAGAAGGCTGCGTGAAAGTTATGTGCTGTAAAAAGTCTTCCTATTGAACCAGAGGTGTATTGTTATGCAGTCCATCCAGAAGCTTGTCTTAATTTTCCAGATAAACAGGTGCATTTAATAAAAGATGATCCCTCTGCCTAGAAACGTTATGCCCTGCAAGCATCAGTGCTACAGTGAAATACTGCTGAAATGGAACGTGCAGAAATTAGGGCAGTAATTAACATGAGTTATATGACTGCTTGTGACCAAAAGAGCTTTTCGTTAGCTGCCTGGACGAGCAGTCCTTTAGCAGGCTGCTCGGGGTAGTGCAACTGGGGACGTTTCCCTGTAGCATGTTAACGAAGCCCCAGACTCAGTGACTATGTTTTAATATTAGTATTCTCCCTTTACCAGTAACAATGCTTATGGTTTAATAGAATTGCTTTTCCCCCTGAGAAACACCACGATGTCCTTACAGCAAAGCTGGCTCTTAGAGTAAGAAACTGGAACAGGAGAAAGCTGTTATTATGCCTTGACGTGCTCACAGCGTGTTCAGGCCCCTCAGACCTCATCCGAAATTGTCAGTTGCTGGCAAGTCCTTATTCCTTGAGTTGAGTGCCATTGGTTACTTAGTCTAGAACTAGCAATGCTAGTTGGCATCCATACATTTTCTCCCTTGGTTGGAAGGTTTCCTTAGGTTTTTGCTAAACCTCTTTTGTTACAGCCAGAATTGGCTTTTGATGCAGCCACAGAATTGCCCTTTCATGCTCCTCCCTTCCATCTGTCCCCAAAGGTGTTTTTTTTTGGTATACTAAGTAATTCATTGTGGAAAACTTCCTAAAACGCCCTTCTAATCCCATCCATAACAAAATACTAAATAATAAATATGGAAAGTATTTAAATATTAAAGAAATGTTTCCCTCTCACCTATGATCACGGATGTCATACCAGACTTCTCTAATTCTATTGTAGTGGAAAGTCAGGTCTCTTAACAGCTCTGCTTTGCTTCAAGTGCAGCAAAAAAGGCAGTCGGGCTACCAGTTTATATGCAAAACGTTCAACTGTGCCGCTTTCCAGGATGTGCTGCAGTTCCTCAACTTCAGTGATACAATATCAGGGTGAAGTGTGTTGCCACAAAACTTACACAGTTGAGCAAACAGCCACCTGCTTGTACAAATATTTCTGCGGAAATCTTTCACAAATTTGCCTCAAGATTAGTATCGCTGTACAACTCTCTCCTCCCTTTCCCCCCTGAGCAGTCTCAAAATAGTGCACAATAGATACTTGTGTCACCTTATTTTCCTCTCAATTAAAATCTGCCACTTGTCTGTTTTGGCACAGTTGTCAGGACTTTTTCATTATCCAGTTAAATGTAGGCATCCATAGGATAATGCTCCTACAGCTTTGGTGATGACGGGGACCTGGTGTGCTGCTCAAAGCAGGAGCACTTGGTGTCGAGTCTGCTAGATGAAGGAAAGTGCACGTAGCAGATTCAGGGCATGCACAGCAAGATTAGTTTTTTTTTGTCCCATAATATGGGACAGACGCTAAGGGTGACATTTCTAGTCAAAAAAAACCTAAGAGGTAGTTTCTTTTCCTGTCCTCTTTTAAGGACTTCTGGAACATCTGATACAGTAGCTGCTCTCTGATACCACGTACCTTTGGTAGCTTTTGGAAGTTTGTAGAAAAAAAATATATTTTTATTCTAAATTGCTTTAGCAGTGGATTGTTCCATATGTCACTGTACCTAACATTTGCCTTTGTTTTGGTATGACAGTCCTAAATACATAGACACAAATGAAACAATCTTCCAAGTAACTTTGGAGTGGAGTGCTAAGCCTTTGCGGTAAGATGGGTGATGTTTACTCGTGCGTTATGACAGCAGGAGGTGTAGTTAGCAGAAGCATAACAGCAACAGAGTGAGAATTTTTATCTCCTTCCAGTGACAATTAAGACAGGCAGAATGAAGCCATAAAGGCTGCAAAGACAGGAAAAATCTAAAACAAAAAAGTTTTGTTCTCTATACCAGTTCACCGATTAGCCCACTATACCTGGCTGTAAAATTAGACTATTCTAGTTCAGGTCTATGTATTTTTCCTAACAAAAATAGGTAGGAGCTCTGGAAGACCTGTCTTTCCTCGAAACTAATTAATGCCTTGAAGGGAATACTCACACTTTGTTTCCTGTCCAAACAGGTAACGTTATACAGAATATACTAAAATCAGGAAAGCGAGTGTTTTTGTAGAATTTTTGTTTTCCTGTCAGCCATAGGAACTGGTATCTTTCTGCTTTCCTTGCCCCAGGTTCAGGCACGTTGTAGATGAATGGAGTTGGATTCTTCTCCTGCCTTGGCTTCAGCCTGTTACTTGACAGAGGGGTTTTGATATGCTCCCTGAGCAGCATTACAGCGATAACAGCACATGAGCATATCGTAAGCCTCCATTCTTTCCTCCCGATGTTCTTTGACCTTAGCTGTTCTGTATCGAATGATGTATTTTGAAACTTTAAGGCACAGTTTAGCCAAAGTCCTTGACTGAACTGATTTTTGTTCTGATAGAGAAAGGAAAGTACTGTCAGGTTTTATAAAAAAAATCAATTGTGATTTACTCTAGTCTTTCTTGCTACTGTACTTCCATACATTTTCAGATGTAATGTCCATCAATTTAGCAGATTTCTTTCTCTTGGGGAATCAAAATAGTCTGTTAGCTGGGCTCGGTTTTACTCTTGGTGATACGAACTAACGTGCTTTTTCATTCCATTAAATGAAACATACGGAAACATATGGAAAATTTTAGCTCCAGAGCTGCTTCAGCATGACACTCAGCTCTTGAATTTGTCCGAGTTAAAATTTTCTTAATAAAGAAAACTGTCAAACGTTATAAACAAGGACTAGTCCCAGTCCACCAAACGAAATCGGAAAGTGAGAGATCCTTTGCAATTATGTAAGCCGAAGGGAGCTCTGTGGCAAATGCAAATTAAACCACACTTTTCTGGGATAGCGTGCAGCTATTCACAGTTGCGTCCCAATTACATTTTATTTGAGGCTTTTCCCCATAGAAAATAGTAATCTTTTTTTTTTTTCCCTTAAAATATCTGTAAGTTATAAAACTTTGTCCATCATAGTGCTTGGAAGTTTTTAAATGGAAAAATATGTTTGGCATCTGAAATCTCTTGAGAAGAAATCAAAGCTTTTACTGAAGATTGTTGCTCTGTTTCTGTGTTTGAAAGTTTAGTAATTTTGAAGAGGATAAAGTCAATTTGAGTTTTCCTGGATTTTGATTTTTTTTTTTTCTTTAAGTGAGCAGCACCAGTGCAAAGGCAGCTCTCGTGTCACAAAATTGCTGGGTCTTTTTCTTCTAGGTTTTCAAGCAATGTTTGAGAGGCGGGGATGTAATTAAAATCTTATCCTCCCTTTGGCTGCATTTTTAATTCTGAATTCAAACCCTCACACGGTGTAATAGAGCTTTGCTTTAGGGTGTTTTATACCTCTATCAAAGTGACTAAAGTAATTAGTATTTTATACATTTTGGTAAGTATTTTGTCACTGGGAGCGCCAGTGCAGGTGAATGATAATGGTTTGAAGCTCAGGCAGTGACGGGACCCTAAATGGGAATGTCGCCTTTTAATCAAGAGCCCTTGGAGTCTATGGTATTGAAATGCCCTACAGAGAACATCGCAAAGCCATCCATCACCTTCTGACAGTCCAATCTTTTAGCGCATGAGTAAGATTTTATTCATCCTTTCTAAGGCACTTGGAGCAGAAGATGTTTTAACTCATCTCCAAACGGCGCTGTGGATGTTGGAGAGCAGAATGCAAGGATTGCCTTCTGGCCAGTGTGTATGTCTGTATTTAGCATCTTTACTCACTTAGATTGCAGCTGAAACTTCGTCCATGTCCTGCCTCGAACATCCCTCCCCGCCCCTTCTACACACCCAACGGGCTGGAGTATTGCCACATTTTAGTCTTATGTTTGGAGTTGATTTGAATAGTTGATTAACTCTCAATGTTCAATGGAAATACTCAGCAAGTTAGAAGGGAAGGACTGCTGCCTCCCAAAGGGAAGATTTTGTGATTCACATGGAAAAGGAGGGGGATATGGGACTCAGAAGTCCTCTGGAGAATGCTTATAAGAAAGTGAAGTGCATTTAGTAAAACCGACTTGGAGGTGCAAACTATTGTCACTATAACAACTTCAAAAATCTCATTTTGAGCTTTATTTTCTGTATTATAACTACCCTCCCTCAGCTTTCTTTATGAATTAAAGCAGAAGCAGCATCTGAGGACAGTGTCAGAACTTAAACGTTTTTGTTGTCAGGCCCTTGGGGTGTTACTTCTGATGTGGGAGCAGAAACCTGCACCAGGAGCCTTGTCTTTTCTCTTATGAAGAGTTGGCAGCACTGCAACTTACTGACTTTGGTGGATTCTCTCCCAGTTAGTTCATGCTGTAAGCCTGACTGAACAGAGTGCCCACCCTACGAGCTGGCTGGAACCAAGAGCACTGACTGGCACTGTACTTCTCGTGGGTTTAGTAAATCGAGTTCTTCAGTACCCTGTGGAGCAAAATTTGCTGTGAATATGCAGGATTTTTTTTTTTCCCCTTCCTGCTTCCTGGCATTTAACAGTTCCAAGCTGAAATCTTTTTTGTCCTACCCCAAAATAAGCAGATGAAATCTTCTCATCACTTTGAAGGGCGAATGTTCCTAAAACACTACCATGTACCAGAGTGCTGAGAGAGAAAAGGCTGGGGAAATTGTATCAGGCTTCATTTTAGTGTGTGGAAAGCAGGAGGGAAAGATGTTTTTCCCACTGAATCCAAGAACGAGTAAAATGCAACCAGATGGAGAAGACATGTTTATATGTGGTACTGAACAACTCTCTCCATCTTCAAACCTTTCTGTCACAGAGATGGAGAGAGTTATCTCAATGTTCAAATGAGTGGTATTGAGTCTTCAGTGAGTTTCTTTTCAGAAACAGACTCTCCTACCAACATAGGTGATGAGAAATTTTTAGCTATCATTTTAATCTGAGTGTAAGCACGTCCAAGTCTGACACCTTTCCCTGTGAATTGTTCCCAGGGATGTAAAGAGCAGCATTTGTGTCTGTCAGAGTATACACGCTCGTGTTTTAATGGCTCCTGTCATGTCATCATGCAAAGCTAAATGAATTAAATATGCAGAATGTGCAAGAGCCTGTACCGGGCTTGTTACACCGTGAGAGATAACACATTAATCAAACAGCTTAATATATGTTCCCGTATGCACAATATTAGCTGGGATTCTGTTAAATAGCTGACATTCAAAATCTACTCCCAATTTTGAAAAGTCTGCTCGTATCATTGCTGCTGTCATCTAGTGACATCTGTGCTCTGTTTCCACATGGCATTTCCACTCACCATAATTGGCTGCTAGTGAAAATACAGGTATTACCCATCTATTTTTATAAATTACCATTTTCTTCCCTGGCTGCATGCCACAGCTTCATCAGGATGTCTCAGAACTTAAAGCTAACGAGTAAAGTGCTACAAGTTGGATATTGCTGCTTTAAAAGTAGACCATTACAAGAAAAAAAAAAAAAAAAAACAGACAAAAACCAGTGCAGAGACTAAGTTAAAGCAACTGTGTCAGTGAAATGAAAATCATTATTGTGGTATTATGATTGTGCAAATCAGCTGCCAAAAGTAAGTAGAAATAATTGAAGTATCCACCTTCACATACAAAGGTTGGAGACATCTAGGTTCCTCAGCAAGCCAAACTGGGTGCCTGGGGCAAAATTATCACCAACTTTGATTTAAAACCAGATCCTTCTTATCACTTAATGTTCAGGAGTGACCTACAAGCCCCCAGTCATCACAGTAAGACAAAGCCAGAGGACTGGAAATACTGAACACAGAGAAAATGGATTTCAAAGCAATACCAAACCAGAAAACTGCACAGATGATCACTTTCTTCTACAATTACTCTACTCGTTATAGTCACAAAACTAACTAAAGAATGATTTGTGGAAAACAGAGAAAATCAGTTTACCAAACTGCTTTTGCTCCCTTAAACTAGAAATTCCTTTCCAGTTCGTACAGAATTTATTTATGCATTTAATTTTTGCTTTACCAACACACTGTTCAGTTTACTTTCTATTTTTAGGTTCTGCTTTACCATGCAAAACTGTAACATCTAGGAAAAATGGTCACTGAAGATCATATTGAACCTTAGCAATGTGCAAATCCATTTTCTTTCTAAGGCATGACATGCATGGTACGCACTGATAGGATGCCAGAAATGCACAAATTGAGAGCCTCAAAATTTAGCTGTTTCATATGTTTTGTTTTTCACACTTTGTTAAATCCTATTAGTCTAAAGCAATGAAAAAAAATAATTACAGAATAAAATACAGAAATAAATAGATAGGAAATGATACTGCAGCATATGTCAGTTATTCCAATATACAGTCTTAATCTTTTTTTTGGGGGAAAAAAAAAAGGTAATGATTCAGACAAGCACTTTCATGAGCTAATTCTGCCCGTTATTCAGTCCCATCACAGGCGCCCGTACCAAACCCCACAGTGCTGATTCTACCTGCAAGTAGCCAAAACAAAGAATTTGCCTTCCATGGTCTACAAGTTTTGCTTGTCCTCTCCCTAAATAAAACCAGACAGATGGAGCAAGCTTTGGAAATCACGAGGAAACCAATCCATCTGCGGTAGGGAATTTGGAACGGAATATATTGCGAAAATTAATAGATCCACCAAAACCTGAGATTAAAGCTCCTGTGTGAACAGGCAGCCTCCCAATGCGAGCTCTCTCCCGGCACAGACAGCACATACAGGGGGGCCCAAGCTAGGCTCATTCCTGGGGTTTGGCTGTATTCGAAAGAAACCAGTGCGAAGGTAGCAAAGCTCAGCGTGGGGCTCTCCTCCAGGCTCGGCTGCTCCTGTAACAAACCTCTTAGGACCGGAGGGTTTGCCACAGGTCTGTGCTCTGCAGACGGTTCGCTGTCTCCCACCCAGCTGGCGTGCACTGAAAACTTGATGGATGGCCTTATGAAAAGAGATGCAGAAAAGGAGAAACACCTCCACTACTGCTCCGCTCTGTCCCAGGAGGATCGACATCTATTAATAGTGCAAAAGGCTGCCAACCTGTCACACTGTGGTTGTGGTTAAAAGTCGGCTAAAGCACATAAATACAACTTGATGGGAGGAATAAAATCACACAAGCGGTCCTATAGGAAGCCTTTGACCTGCTGTCTGCCTTTTAAAACACGTGATTCCAGTCAGAGTGGCTTTTGGCCTGGCTAAGGAGGGTACTGCAATGAGGAGGAGGAGGAGGAGGAAGAGAGGAGGTAAGACGGGAAGCGGTGGCAGCACGGACTGCCACAGCGGTTAGCAGCAGGAGGAAGGGGTGATGAGAAAGGATGCCTGACTGACCGTAGTGACTCACAGCCTTAGCAGCTGTCCGTACTGCAGTTTTTTTACTGTTAATTGGAGTAAAACTAATGTCAGCATGTCCAGCTGTGATGAAATCACACCTGCATTTAGCAGGGCACCCTGGAAATGTGAAGGACCCTCCCAAGCCTTTGCAGTTAAAGCCCTCAACAGCCTGAGGAGGATTTCAGGCTGCTTAGGGACTGCTGTAGCACACGTTCCCTGTAGCTCTAGTTACATATAGCCACTTTTTAAAAGCCACAATTTAGTTTTAAAGAGCACACTGGAAGTTTCTTCACTGTCTCTCTCCTTGAAGCGTATTTCGAATTCCCTGTAAAGGCAGCTTACATTACAAGATCAGTTAAAACGAAGCTTTCAAGAAGCTGTGAGGAGTTTCAGCCCACAGTTACGCTTTCTTTCCAGCCTCACTGCAGAGCGTTTGGGATTATCCCAGGGCAGCGGGGTCGGGGGAGCTAGCTGGGTCATGGAAATGTGCTGGAGAGCGGCTGTGAATTCGGCAGGAAGGGGAAGTTACCCCACACGTGACTCCGGGTTACAGCACACATTGAGCAGTACACGTTCCCTGGTGACATGCACTTCCTCACTGTGCTGATGAAACCACAGTCTCTTAAAAGGACTACAAAGGGGGGCTGAATTCATTCCTGTTTTTTTGCCCCAGTGCATGACAGTGAAGAATGAACTATCATCGCACGAACTAAATGACCAAGCAAACAAGCACAGCTCAGAGAGTTTAAATTCAACTAGTGTTAAAAGATAAAGACCACGTTTACTTGGCAGTAATTGTTCACCGAGAAATCTTCTTTCAGGCTCTAAATAACGTTTTGTATTTATCAGTGCATTATTCACTTGCAAGAAGGTCTTGCAGTACCAAGATAGATCCGTGCTGGTTAAAATTCATTTGGCGTTGCCCCCCTAAAAAGCTTTAAAAAAAAACAACTGGAGTATTAAATCATGTTTCTTACACTTTAAATCCTGTTATTTTAAAACACAGGTTGGACAGCCATTTGTTGAGGCACTTCCAGTTTGGGGCTGCAAAAGCGCTGAGGCTATCAGTGAGAGTCTGCAGGCTGCACTGACAGCATTTCAAGGCCCCATACTTGCAGGAGGTCAGTGTGCAGCAGCCTGTTATTCTGGAAGCAGTGCTCCTGCCGAACCCTTTAATGTTTTTCTAGAAAGAAAAGCACATTTGCTGAGTGTCTCTCCTCCATGGTGCTACCGCTGTAAATCAGAGCTCTCACACAAGCCATGCTGACTGAGCGAACTGGCATGCCTCTGCAGCATGGCTTTTATCTCAGCTCCCTGCATGTAACGAGGATCACAGTACTCAATCCTACTTGCTCCTCAGTCTGCCACCAGGCTCCCAAATTTGCCATCGATTGCATGCCGCAGTGGGATGCCTACACCTGCCCCCTCTGCCTTGGAGAAGCCACCACCACTCAAAGTGTCTGGGGGAGATCCCCTAGCTGCTGCCCCCGTGGGACCGGAGGATGACCTGAAATGATACCTGAAATCCTTAGGGGATAGCCCGGAAGAGAAACCATGTGTAGAATTTACATTCACGAATTGTCCTGCCAGGAGCAGTTCCCTACTTTCCTTCCCAGCAAGCCAGCAAGATTAGCACTGAATCCACAGAGAAAAGTCCACCGAGGACAGCGAGTGTAATATGTAAACGTGTACCCAGCTGCAGAAATTGAGGCCTGTGTGTGGAAGGAGGCTTCTTGCCCTTTGCTGCTTATTCATTTCTAGTTGCTCTGCCTCAAAATGCCAGTTACTGTTATGAGACATTGGTCAAATGCTGCTCAAAGCCTGTTCAGTAGCCGAGTATGTAGGAGAAGATCACTGAAGGGGTGAAAGTGATGAAGTAATTTATCAGAAACCATAGGATTGGTGTAAGACTGACCAAATGGTACCAAATTAAAGGAGAACACTTTGAAGAGCAGCTGTGAGTGCCGACTCCTCCAGTTACAGAATTTACACTGATAATGAACGGTATCAGAGATAATTTATTCATCAAAAATAATCTCGTATCTCAAGCCTCGTCTTTCTCAAGATTAATTGTAGGGTAACATCAGCAGCTGAAATCAAAGGTGCTGGGAGCATGCATGTGCAAGAACGTAGTTTGAAACCAAGCAATTCATTGTACAAAGTCATTCTCTTCAGGGTCGCTTAAGACAGTATTCTCTCTGCTCGCTGTCACCTAACGCACATGTTTCTAAACACCCATCTGCATTTCTTTTGTTTCTGTGACAGTCATTGCCTTTTGATATTGTCCTCAGCAAGGGAAGAGTCTTGTTTAAGCTACTTACTTGTGTTGCTTTCACTGATGTTATTGTGGCAGTATCCCCTATACTATGGCCTTACAGAGGACAGATCATCCCTATTCATATATTACTTATTCTATATTATTACTTTAATAAGGCATTAGAAACACGACTATTTTACTTAAAAACTTCTTTACTTTGAATGTTTACAACCTCTCTTTGCTATGTTAAAAACAGGTGATGTAGAATTAACTGGTAGCTCCCCAAAGTAGAGCTCAGCTTGTGGGGTTCCTAATCCTGTAATTACTTGGGCCTGGAGCTGCGAACACAAACACTTCCCTTGTAATCACGTGGAGAAGATACGCCACTCAAGGCCTTTGCAATACAGTCTCGAATTCTAGGGGTACTCCTGTAATTCAGGAATAATAATGATCCTTTTTTTTTTCTCCTACTTGAAAGAGTGTATATACCAGCACAGAAGGTTTTACAATGCAGGGTTTCACAAGAAAACATTTTTTGCTATTAAGTATTACCCATCTGAAGGTAGAGTGGAGAAACATTTTAACCATCTGTTCAGTAACAACTGATCAGCTTTTAGCAAAGCTTTTTGTTCCTCAAGACAAAGGACTCAAAGTATGAAATCCTGGTGGCTGAACTACTGCTGCCTCCATTCTCCGTGGCTTCAGCATAGATGAGGATTTTGCTAGGCACACTGGTGTACGTACAGAGGGGTAGTTCTGGTTAGCGTGGAGGCTCAGAGGGCACAAAACCAGAAGCAACAAACAAAAATGCTCATTGAGGCAGCCATGCAGAACTATCAGAAATTGGTTGGACCGCCACACGGCTTTCTGAGCTCTCCAATCACACACACACACATTCTGCCACTGTTTTTCTTGCTAAACAAATAAACCATCAAGAAAAGCCTAGAAAACACCAACCAGTACCCATATAGATGTCATGAGGTGTGTATTCAAAAAAAATGATACATAATAAAATCTTCTTTCCCCTCAATCCTCACTCGAGCATGACTGAAGTCAAGGATGGAGAATAAACTGATTCTGCAGTTATTCTGCAGAACCTTGAAAAGAAACTTTTTATAAACCTTATTCTCTTTATTACTGTTAACGTTTTATTACTGAACACTCTGAAACAAATCCAGTGCACACTTCTGCTGTTTCTGGTTTCGTATGCTGTCTTGCACTGAATAGAGAGGGCTTTCATTAATTCTGAAATGAAACCGATGCTGTTTTTATTCAGCAAGCTTTGGCCACCCTTTTCCCCTCCTCCCCTTTGTATGTCAGCTGTAAATTGCTTGACAAATACTCTGTTTCATGCTTCCCTGCTGCTGGCGTCTTTAAAGATTCAAAAGAGACAGAAAGGCCAAACAGGCAACAGGTAGGTAATAAAGCAAATGGCTCGGTCTCTGGTTAAAGTTGCTCAGAGAAACAAGCAGTAAGACTGAATTCTTTCTTCAGAGTGCAGGTGGAGAGGCCATGAACGAAAATAAATTTCTGAACACAGACTCCAGCACAGGATCAGTGGAAACAGCCGTCAAGCCTTTACCATTTAAAGATCCAAAATTCATCGTAAGTATATTATTTTAACAATTTGAAATTCCAAACTCTTCAAATAAAACCCTAGCTAGATGTCTAAGCGTCTTGCTAATGTAAATATTAAGAAAGTCAGGTTAACAGCCAAATAAAAGATCGGTGGTTCTGAAGAAATTCACCTCGAGTCCATGCTACACTCTGGTCTGACGTGCACATTATATTATAACCCGAAAATGGCACGCCTCCAGAGTGAGAACCATTATATTAAATCGTGGAGCAGAGCCAGGGAACCCGGTAGATCAAGGTATGCGCAGAAGTTTTATGGTGCGGTACCTGACAAACTCAGAGAGCTGGAAAGGCACTATTTATACCCCTGTAAATGTAGGAACCCCATCTCCCAGTTCCTAGCCAAAGGGAGGTTGCAAAATAGTTGAACTAAAAGTCAGCCACACAGTCATTAGCAGCTGGCATTTTGCTCTTCTACCAGTCCCCGAAACGATAGCAGACCTGCGGTGTCTGCGCTTGCAGTAATTGCTAGATTCAGGAGCAAACACTCTGTGCTCCCCAGAAGCTTCGCCTCCCGGCATTCAGAAGTCATGAAAACCCTGACAACTGATGAAATACAGGCTGCTAAAACAATGTGAGATTTAAATTGGGGGAGAAGTAGAAGGAAGACTAGAGCTAGCAGTGCTATCACTGCTGGGTTTGTTTTTAATATCTCGCTCTGCCAGGGCCAACTCATTGGCACACTGTACAAATGCTTTCTAGGCAAGCAAACTTCTCAGACTGTTGGTCCAAAGCCAGTACTTAGAAAGTAGGATTTTATCCCAGATTTAATTTTGCATGAATAAGAGACAATATCCCACAGCACAAAACCTGAGTAATCAGGCATCGCACCGCTCACCAAGCAAGGGTTTGGCAGGGGGTAAAATTCGTCTCTGACTTTCAAGTTGCTCTGTGTCTGCTTTGCAGACATCTTCTGTCACAAGAGGAGCATTCAAAGAAACAACTGCAGACTTGGCTTGCTCTAATTCTCCAATGAGCACCAGCATCTTTGAGAAACAGGGCTTACTGGAAAATCTCCACTTGTGCCCAGGGGCACTCCATGGAGCTTCCCTATAGGATTTAAATAGCCATAAGGCCTGCTGTCTGTCTTTTCCTAGCGGGGCATCACCATTTCCAAAGAGGCAATCCTGATGTCTGCATGCTGGAGATGATAATGAACGTACAAGGCCCTTGACAACTGCTGCAGAAATAATAGGCAGTTAGAGTAACGTTAAATTATCCTCCCCAATACAGCAGCTAATTTGAGAAGAAATGTATTGATGTTGTACTAGCTTTTTGTCTGTATGAACTGGTAGCTGTAACTTGGATGACTTTCTGCATCCTTCCAGCCCAATATGCCTTAAATGGAAGAAAATAAGTAGCGTGCATCTCTCAATGTGCTTCCTTCTTACTGGCCTCACCCATACCCCTAACAGACACTGAGACCTTCCGTAGATCACTCTGCAAACACTGACTTGTAGTTAACTATACAGAGGACAACGCCTCCTTTTTTTCTCATTATGGCAAAGAGAGAGAATCAAAACAGCAGCAAAACTGTGTGTCTGATCCGTGGCCTGCTGAGATCAGGTGGATGCTTCCTCTTGGCCCTAAAGAGATCATGCCCTAAAGACCAGCTTTTAAAAAAACAGATGACTGAAAAAAAAATTGTTCTGCAATGATTTGGGGGAAAACTCATGCAATGAATTTGAATTATGAATGTGGCGGTACATCTGTTTCCATCTCGTGTTCCAGCAGTCTGTATTTGCAATGATCTATAGATTACTAAGATGTTGCTCTCAGAGCAAACATTTGCATGTACTTTCTGTATCGGATTGTGCATTGCCAAAAACTGATAACATCATAAGCTTATGAGCATCTTTTCTGAGCATATCTTACGTCTATGGAAAAAAAGCTTTCTCGTCGAATCCCTTCTGCTATCATTCTCAGCAATTCAGCAGCCTAATTTATAAACTAATCACAGCAGAAGTGTGTTAGCAGAACTTTGCTGAGTTTTGATGAGACTGATGTGTCAGGTAGTAATTACGAACAGCGATAACAACTCCCCGATTCCAAGAACGGTTTCTGTTCTGAAGTAAAGCTGTAAATCTGTGTCCTTTGATCATTTAGAAGTAGTACAGTATATTGTGCATCTTCTGTCTCTGGAGGGACATAAATAAATTACCCCGTAGCAATCCCATTTGATAAGTGAAACTACCATTATAGTACCTGTAGCAAGCCTTCTGTTAGCGTAGCTTTCAAAATGTAAAATTGTCTTGGCAGCCAACATTCTATTTATTACTCCTTTCCTATTCTTCTGTCATTTGAAAGAAAAATAAAATTTCCAGACAGCTTCTCGGAGTATTCATTACGTTTTGCAAGATCAGTTGTGTTTTCCACAGTCACAGATAACTCACAAGAGCTAGAGCCGCACCTGTAGTATGCCATAAAAAGGAGAGGGAAAATTGAGCCGTGTAATCACAATTTCAGGCACAGCTCTGTAGTAATAAGTTCTAATATGATGGGAAGGACGTTCAGAATCCTGTAATCTCAGGCTAAACCTAACCCCATAGATTTTCTATTTCCATGTAAAAAGCAGATTTTCATTTCCTTCAGTTAATCCTAAACGTAGCAGCTTTGACACAGTCCAAAAAGCTTTGTTTTTCTTGCGACCAAGATTAAGTGTTCAGTGTATTAGCCTGCTGATGAAATAAGTGAGGATAAGGAACGGTTCATGACAAGAGGAGATGTATCAGAAAGACTATAAAGTAGAAGTGTCATGCTCTGAAATAGTATTCTTTATTTATTTTTTCTCTGAACACCATATTTTTAATTCTAGCACTCCGGCATTGGTGGAGCAGCAGCTGGCAAGAAGAACAGAACTTGGAAGAACCTAAAACAAATTCTTGCTTCTGAAAGGGCATTGCCATGGCAACTAAATGATCCTAGCTGTAAGCTGCTTAGATGCTTTGCATGTATTTATAAATAATAAAATCCATACAAATAACTTTCTTTAAAACAAACCTAAATTATTGCATCGGTGCATGCAATATCCTGTTTGAACAGGGTCCAGTGGGACATTCAAGACTTGTCCAGCCACACTCACCAACGCCAAGCGGGAAGGTGTGGGACACATAATTTGGAGTGCCATGAAAAAGTTTGGGCACATCTGGGGAGGGAGTTCTATGAAGGAATTGTATTTAGCAGAACCAAGTCAGAAACCCCTTATTCCTGTCAGGTTTTTGTCACCTCTTCACTGCTAAGGAGCCACCTCCGCTGCATGCAGCCCATTTGTCTCCTGAAGGTGTGGTGGCTGCTGCCTCCTTAGCTGTGTTTGAGCTGTTTGCAAGGGAGATTCTGCTAGCCACATCCCTGCAGTAGCTGAGACCTCAGCCCAAGCTGCCTATCCAGCTCCTTATCCCAGATTCTTGGGAGACTTAAGTCCTACATCCCCTACTTAGTTCAGCACAGCTGAAACTACACTATTAGCGCTCCAGATTACAGTGAGCTCGCGTACGTCGACAGGACCGAGCTACAGCAGTGCTCTTAATCTCGACGTACTTCAAGATGACTCGTGGAGGATACTACTGAATGGAGCTGGAGGCAGAATTTGATCCTCAGATTTTACTTAAGCAACTCAGAACTTTACTTAGACATCTCAGAATCGACCATATGAGTATACTTTCTTTTTTTTTTTAATATACATTTTGCTTTATCCAAAAATAACTTGCCATTTTTTGAAGCATTTTAGATGCAGCTGTTAAGAGAAAACGCAGGCTACTGTGTGTGCCTGGCTATTGTAACCAACAATCTGTTGACACTGCTATTTCTATTAGGTTTTATTTGCAACAGTAAATTTAAAGGCTTTTTTTTTTTAAGATGGTGGCAAAGGAAATTCAGTTGCGCATTCAAAACCAGCTGCCTGTGGCATTAGTGTCTTCTGAATTATGGGAGCGAGATTTAAACATTCGATATGGAGGGAGCATTTCAGTTTATTGTAGCAGCTGGATGAGGCACAAGGGAGATCAGGAGGGAGGAGAGAAATGATCCAGGTACAAAATATTTTTGTAAACATTGAAATTCATGGATTTAGCAGTTTAAATGTACCAGTCATATTTTAAAAAGTGGTGTCTCATAACTGAATGGATCTTGGTATCTAAAGGGCACCACAGAACAGCAATTTCCATCAGTTAATTTAAACATTCAGACAATTTTCTAGGTCATTGACTGGGCTTAAAGTGGTACATGCTTAAAGATTTACTTGATTTAAAAGATTACTTCGCTTTTCTGGATTATACTATTTCAGAACTGCAATCTTGAACAATGCTTCCTGGTCCTAACATACAGCATGTGTACAGTAATGGCTATTCTTTGCAAATAACTGCGGGAATTCATTAAGACTTGGAGGAAATCAGCACATTTCATTTCAAATAGCTGTCTTACATTTTTCCTTTTAGGAAGGGCAGTTCTGTTTACTGAACTGTTGGTCTAGTGAGGTGAGCAGAAACAGGCTGTTGTTTACAGTGCTAGCAGGCTGAATGTTTTCAGAGGTAATTCTGCTTCGTAGTTCTTTGCCTTAATGCTCCTAGTTAATAAAGACCTCAGAAAGTAAAGGTGGTTTTAAAGAGATATTTGCTACCTCTTTACATTTTGTGTTTTGCTTTTAAAATTTATGTAGCACACTGAACGTATCCCTTTGTTTCTCTCTAGATTTTAGTATTGATGCTCCTCCATCCTTTAAGCCTGCCAAGAAATATTCCGATATTTCAGGACTTCCAGTAAGTATCTTATTTTTTCTCTTCAAAATTGGCATCTTGCTTCCCACAATGAAATAAACCTGGAAATAAACCACGCTTCTGGAAAAGATGTACATGCAGAGGCTCCCATTCAGCCTTGCACTTAGTAGTTGTCCTTTGATTTATGGCCAAACCCCCAGTACTGTCCCTACATCACAAAGTCCTCGGGATCGTAATAGATGCCAGGACGGCTTAAATACCTTGTCCTGCCAGCTGCCTCCTATCACACCGCTTCCCCAGCTTCAGAGTCTGCACTGCTCCCCATCATTCTCAACTCTTTTAGTCTGTTACAGTGAAAGCTGGTGGCCCACAGTTTCCCTCACTCCTAGCTTTACCAAGCTTTAACCGCACAGTCTGAAACTTTCCATATTGAATGTTTGTCTGAGGCTGTTCTTTCTTCATTATATCTTGTAGGGAAAATTTCAAAAAAAAGCTGGTTCAGCAACCTCCAAGAATGAGATTAGGCAAAATTATATTGATTGGCCCAGGCTAAAAAAAAAATAAATGTTACTCTCAAACTTTCTCTCGAACATATCAGCCTGAGACAGACACTTGGCATGGACTTTTGAGAATTCCGAATATCCCCATACTGCAGAGCTGGAACTTGGTGTTTGGCAGATGCATAGCCTGTGTGTCACAGATGGGCTCTCTAACATGGTTTTGTTTGTAAAAAATAAAAAAAAATACATTTGACTTAGTTATGGTTTGCACATGCTCCAAAAGTCTTGGTAGTTACAATTTGGCACCTGAATTCCCAAAAGATTCTGTTGGCACAAAACATGAGTAAAGTCACTGAGTTCTGCCCAACAAAAATTTTCTATCTGCTGCTGACACTGTTCCTATGTGACATGAATAATTTTACTTAAAACAAAACAGGTGTTAGCAACAGCATAACTTTTCACTTTTTGAGTGCTCATGTTCAGATGACTTCAGTGATTTATTTTGCAGAGGCCTGTATGAGTTTGTTGCAATGGACATGAATGGGAAGGTTCAATTTGGGACTACGGAAAGCGTTAAGTAATGGTTACACTAAATAACTACAATATTGAAAACTCTGTAACTTCAAATAGCCTTAAGACAGAATTCCTGGGTCCCTTCCCCCAGTTGAATCCCTAGGGCCCTATCCCACCTCACAGGGATGATACCACCTCATAGAGGTGCCTGTAAATATAAACGCATTATGTTGATGCAGGCTCACACAAAAAAAGCTCCTCAGAAAATTAACAACTCTATCTTAAGAGTGAGGTTTGAGCAATGTGATTTGCTAGGAATATTCGCTGTATGACATCAGTGGGGATAAAACAAAGAATTAAACATGTTCTCACTAAGCACCTTGCATTCTGTGTACGGAATTAGATGAAAGTCCATGTTGGGAAAACAATGGGTGAGCACTTAATTAAGAACTGCCTGATAGTGGATACACGGTGCAAGGGATCAAAGAACTGCCATAAAGCCAGCTGTAACCCTGCAAGTCCTCACATTTGAGTTCTTCATTTGACAGCATCTACTTTCCGTGACTTTTTTTATTTTTTAAGTAACGCATTTAGAAAAGCCACCTAGGAGGTGGCATAGTTCCCAGCTGTGCTCTTGAGCATGATTAGGAAGTGGAGTGGGTAGCTTGCATCGAGGCTGGTAACCCACGGTGCTCAAGAGGGAATGAGAAAGCAAAAATCTCCCTTGCAGATGAACTGGCAAAGAGAAAATGGAAGAGATTGCTCACAAACCCAGGGAGAGTAACTCCCTCCAGCCAGGCAGACTTACGGATTCATACTTAGAAGAGTACTGTTTTGTTTTAACAGCACCTCGTTTCCAGCCAAGGAGCAGAGGTCAGTTGAACGAGGCACCCTGCATTCAGTACCCCCACACCATATGAAGAGGCAGTGGGTGGAGGAAGGGAGAATAGGTGGATATGAAACAATAATGAGGAGGTTTCACCAGAATAGCAAAAAATCCAGGCAGAGTCACTCAATGGTGTTCATCTCTTTCCTCTGCAACCCTTAAAGAGTTGCTCAGCAAGTGTTAGTGGTGTTCACAACGGGTGCTGATAGAGTTGCAGCGACAGCACTGATCTCTGAAGGGCTAACGAGGGGCAGAAGGCATAACAGCTGAAGTCCCTGTCTCAGTCCCACCTCCAAGGAACCAAGCAATCATTCCAGCACCAGCACCTCAAAACTAGTCAGTCGTTGCAACTACAGTGAGATGATGATGATGCAGGTGATGGGTGTCAGTGAAGGCTGTGTCCCTCCCAGCTAAGGGGCCATTCAGCCACTGGAAGCAGGCTCACCCTGCCAGCTCCTCCTTTCCATCAGCAACTTATGTGCTTTAACTATACTAGCTCAGTATAAATAACCTCCTTTCTCTAAGATTCCATTCAGTGCTGCTTTTGTTGTTTCCTTTTTTCCCTGGTCTTTCCACTTTTTAAAATTTTCCATCCTCTAATCGTATTGTGGCTTGTTCCCTATTTTACCTGGCCTGTGACGTTGCTTCAGACGATGATAAAAATACCATGCTTAAAAAAATCTTCTGTATTAAGAAAGATAACTGAGGCAGCGTATCCTCTAAATGGCTGATCCTGAAATGATGCCTGAGAAGCACTGAGCTTATTTTCACGATTATTTCCTGCTAGGAAGATGTGTGGGGTAATAGAATGTTTCAGAAATCTAGTATAAGAAAAATGCCCCTCTATTTTCTGTTTAAAATTTGAAAGTGTTTGTGTAAGAATGTATTTTGTATGGAGATGCTGGATTCCCTATGAAAAAAAAATAAAAGTAAAATAAATTCCTTAGCTTTACTCATTTAGGGAAGAATTAAATGGTCTAGCAGGTACAAAAAAAAGAGAAGTGTATTAAAACACTCTCATCAGTATATCTGCAGTTATATTAACTGCCACAATTAAATTCTATTGATTCTCTTCTCTTTCTCTGTGTAACACAAATGGAATTAAATTTACCAGTGGTCTAAGCAGAGCAGCCAATTTATCTCTGTAAGGCAGGCCAGAACTCAAAAGCTATTATCTGCTATATTGACACTGCAAAATAAAAGTATTATTTCCAAAGTTACAAGATGAGTATTTAGTTGTATTAACATGCAAAATAAAGTAATTTAATGTAAAACAGATAAAAAGAAACTTCATGTAACTAAATTATTGTTTGAAGAACGTGCATCTGTGGCCTTTGGCTTAGTTTCTAGGTATGACAGAGTTGCTTTGCAGAATCACCTGAACTTTTCTGATCTGTTTCAGTTGCTGCTGCAGTAGGGTAAGTTTGTTTTCAGTCTGAAGGCCTAGCATAAATTACTGACAGATTAGTAAACTGTGTGTTAGTTACATGAAGACATTAGTGTGTGCAGGCAGTGCAGCCCCATACGAACTTGCAGAACTGCCATCATTTTTTTCACCTGGGTTGATGCTCACCACGCATTGCAGATGTTGTTCGTCTAGTTTATTACAGAATCCCACACATCTGAGCAGCTTTCTACTTGGTCAGCTCTTCCCTAGGTACATAAGGCCAAATGTAAAGTGTGAAATAAAAATAAATGTATACCTGGCATAGCCACAAAGTTACCACCAGGGATAAATTTACTCCTAATGGCCTAGCTTCGCCATTTATTTGAGAATGAATTGATGGCCTGACTGTGAGCTGACTACGTTTAATTAACCTTGTAGCGTTTCTTGGTGCAGAATCCAGCTATAAACAACACTTAATTTTCTTCTAAGTCTTATCAGGCCAGATCATTAGGTGGATTGTTACCATGGCTGAACAGATCCTTTCCAACATAAAACTGGTAGAGGCTTCTACGCCTTTACTCAGTGGGTGTGAGCAGTGCTCTGGGCCTTCCTGGCCTTTTCTGCTCAGGTAAGGGTGTCCCAAAAGAGCGCAGCTGCCCGTGCCTTGCAGCCTGCCACCACCTCCTATCACACAGGACGCGCCCAGAGCCTTGGCAGGCACTCTGGAATAACACTGGCCTGCTGTGACTGCCCTGGAGGCTGTAACCTCTTGGAGAGAAGGCTACCCTGAAGCAGGCCTTCGTCAGCCCAGCCTCAGCCTGCTCTGCTGCCCCTGGGTTAGCGCAAGCTCAGGGTTTCTGTAGCAACAGGGAAGGGGAGAGGATGGAAGGAGGCTGGCAGCGCTCCCAGGCACCCGAGACCCAAACGTAGCAGAGGATAGGAGCCTTGCCCAGGGCTCGCTGGCCAGGCTGCTATCCTGAAAGCAGGCGTCGGCAGCAAAGCAAAATGCTCCGCTCACATTTCTTATCAGTTCAGTCACAGAGCCGCAAGCTGAGACTCCCTTGCTTCAACAACCGCTTTAAAGTAAATTAAAAGCAAAGTTGTATGCAGGAAGAGAGAATCAGTCCAAAGCTATCCGAGCACCCATAATTCAGCCTCTTTGTTGGGTAATTTATTGGCAGCAGCCCGACTGCTTGGAGAGCTGCCCCGTGAGAGCCTGCACAAGGCACAGAGTTGCTAGGGTGAGTTTGGAGAGTTGTGAAATTCCTTTTGCACCATGCTTTGTGTGAGTCTCTTCTAGCCCTCTGTGATGTTTAATGCATTTCTAATGCGATTTTATAGGGGTCTGTAAACTGCTCATAAGTTTTGACATGAGGAGGAAAAAAAAATCTTTACAAACTTCTGGTCATGTGGCAGAACACCAGTGCTGCTCCTGCAAAAAGAAGCCCAGTAGTTTTTGGTCCTACAATTTGATGCTTTTTTAATAGTCCATTTTGAGATTTTCTTTGAATAGTATCTTTGCCATTGTTTCTTTCCCAGGCAAATTACACAGATCCCCAGAGCAAGCTGAGATTCAGTACTATTGAAGAGTTTGCCTATATTCGGATGCTCCCTTCAGATGTGGTTACAGGATACCTGGCTCTAAGGAAGGCAACAAGCATTGTTTCCTGAAGAGACCAAACATTGTTGGGTATCACTCCTGAAGGGCTCTGGTTTTGAGAACCACGACGGAAACTGCCTGCAGGACTGAGGTTCTTTAAAACTCTCCATGGATATTTACATCTGGAAGTAGTTGGTGATACATGGATTTGAACGAACATGCGGTTTTAATTTGGATAAATACTTGTATTTGTTAGTTTGCCAATTTGTAAGCAATTGGTTTGGTGAACAGAATAACTTAGACCTTAAGGATATGGATCGGCACCATAATGTCCAAGTTACATCAATTTATTCAGAGAAAGGATTTCACCCCTCCCCTATATATTTTATGTACTGCCCTGGCTCAGAAGAAGAAATGGCCATATGAATAGAGGGAAAGGTACTAAGATATCCCGGCTTCCAAACCTGCCTTACAGATGTGCTTGCCACTTGTCTCTGAAGAAGTCTGTCCCACGTGTAAACATGGAAGTTAAAATACCAAGAGCTGCTCTATCAATGACTGCTGGTGGTACTGAGCACTGTGGAAGTGAACAGCTTCACACAAATATTTACACTGGAGAAATGTCAGCATAAATAAAGCTGGACTCAAACTTGGTTTAAAGTATCTTAAGAAATATGTATAATGGAACCAAACCAAATCACCATGCGACTCTTAAGTGTGACACTTTGTAGTTTTTGAGTACTTCATTCCACAACCCAACTGTTCTTCTGCCTCAGTACATCATCATTATTATTACTAATCAGTACAAAAAAGCACTTATTTCCCAGACTTTTTTTTTTTTTTAAATAAAAAGATGCTATAAAAGCATGAATTCCACTGCCCAGTGACATTCTGACACCCAGATGGTCATCATCAAAGCAAAACCCCCTAGGTAAGGACACGGACCTTTGCAGTGTGAGGTACCAGGAGAACATGCAATAGCAACTGAGGGCTGTCCCCCTTTAGAGGAAGGAGAACAAAGAAGGGTTCAGGCTCTTGCTGGGGGGTTGACAACTACTTCCTGACAGCAGAAATGGTCATTTTTCTGAAACTAAGCCTAGGGGGAAGTGGACAGAGATTTTTCTACCCATTCTTTCTTTCTGTCCTCTTCCTTAGGGCAAGCTGCTGATTTTTTTTTCCTCCCTCTCCTCCACCTTTGCCTCAGCCTAGCTTCTGTCAGGTTTTCGTTCTTCATTTGGACTCCAAGTTCAGTGTCAGCCATTCCTAGCCTCCAACCTGTGGCCTGTGCCACTTCACCAGTGCACTATCCTGTAGCTGCAGCACTCTGTGAGCCAGTGGGCGCTGGCCACAAAGGCCCCAGGTGAGTTACCAGTTGCTGTGGGGATGCTTTTCTGCCATGTGCAGAGCTGCCAGGTGCTTCGTGGCAGACCTATCCCATAGCTCGTTAGCATGAGACCCTCTGGGTTGTTCATGGGGTGAGACACTGATCACCAGCAAACAGCCATCCTCACCTCACCCAGGCTCCACCAAGGACGTGGGGACTTGCATAAGATCACCTCTTCTCTCTGAGTGCACTGGGAGCACACCGTGGTGAGTAGCTAACCCCTAAGCTGCATCCTGAATGCGCATTTCGATAGGAATGATAATTATTGGAACAGATATTTTCTCATTGAAAGAATAAATAAGCAGGGCATTATAAATGCTAGTTTAATTTCAGCTCCAAAACAGGAAAAATCACTTAACAATGGGGTGCATTGTTCAGCGAATGCATGTAGGACTCATTCCTCAGTTTTTGTGATCTAATATTTACAAAAACAAAGTAATTTTAAAAGTCTTTGACATGCTTACAATAGATCCTTCAAAGCCCTGGATATCAGATAATGCTACAACTGTATCGCAGAGCAGAAAATAATAGGACAGGATATCTCTCTCCATGCCAGTAAGCATCCAAGCCACATTCTCTTTGTATCCGAGTTTCAGAATGGCTGTTCTAGCTTACTGTACGTACTGAAGATGTGTTTATAAGATAAGCCTAACGTTGATAGGAAAAGAAAACATGTAGAACTGCTCTAAGATCGCTTTTGCTTTAAATAGGCAGACACCAGCTTAGAAAATCAGATTCTGCTCGCTTGTTCTCTCCCACAAATATTTTTAGCATTCTTTGGGAATGACTGCCTGGGAGCACAGGCTCCCTCGCTATCAGGAGTGCTCCAGGCAGTCCCGCACCGCGCGGGGAGGTGTTACTTTTCTCAGCTAATTTCTCCTGAGCAGTGTTTATTCATTCCATTTCCAAAACCTAAGTGTCTTAGTGAGCAAGTCAGCGTCAGAAAAGGAAATATGGCTTAGGTTTAGCACAAGCGTTAATGACCCCTCTCCCATTGCTTTGTAGCCATGCGGTGGCTGTTGGATTCCCTTTTCCTTCCTTGTTTTTTTCCTTTGTCTGCTACTGGCCCTTTTCTTTGTCTTAGTTTGTGGTACCCCACTTACTAGTAGCCAGCGTGTACAATGTTGATCAGTCCAACTGGGTTCTTTTGGGGGATGATCATCTTTTTAGAAGATGATCTGAAAATAGAGAAGTACATTCATGTTTTGAAGTACTTACAGGACCTTATCTAGATAAAAATAAAAAAAAAAAGGAGTTGGATTTAAATTGCAAAGAGGACAAAAGGAAGGCATTTGGAAGGAGAAGCAGCGACAAATACCGTTTCAGACCCGGGGGGAATATATTGAGGCTAAAAGCAGTGTCACACAGGTAAGGCAGGAAGCCAGGAGTCACAGCAAGGACAAAGGTTACTACTTGTGGAATATCACCCGGGTGCTGCACGCTGCAGACACGGATGGCTTCGCCCCGTACCCCGCTGGTGTTGGTGTCACAGCGTGGAGCTGACGCCACTGACGGCTGGCCCATGCTAATGGGAAGGGAGCTCACGGCGAGCAGGATGCAGTCCAACTGGCACAGCTCTGCCTGTACTCTTTTTGGAAGGTGGAAAGCCTTTCCTTGCCTCATCTGTCCTGTTCCTTGGAAAGAGGAAGGATGTTTGCTTGGGGCCAAGCTCCTGTTTTTCTGTGCAGCTACATGGCCCGCACACAGAGCAGACTCTGGAGATGGGGCTCGCCTACAATTGACAGCGGTGCTTTTTAAAACAAAAAACAAAAAACACAACTGCAGTAGCTTGCATTTATCTTGTGCTTTGGGTGGCTGTGCCTGCTCTCTAAGCTGGAACAAAGCAGGCAACTGCCTCTGCAGCAGGCTGTCCAGGGCTGCAAAACCACCACAGCTCTGTGGCCTGCTTTGCCATGGCCAGAGCTCTGTGCTCTGTGCTCCAGGGCCCAAGGGAAGGGGCCCACCAGGAGCAGCTGAGAGGAATGAAGCTCTGCCAGCGGCTGTGGTTGCTGCTTCCACCCTTCCCATCCTCTGGCAGATGGAGAGCAGGATCTCGGGCTTGCTCCCTGTTGCTGCTTTTGCCCTCCTGCACCTGGGCAAGGGATTGGCTTTGGCCTCAGGTGCTGGAGAGCAGTGAAGTTTCATTCAGGGCAGCCCTACAGCAGCTCATGTTGGAGCTCCTGCATTTCACTGTCTGCTATTCCCCTGCTTTTTCCCCTCATAGCGACCTGGATCTCTGTGGAGTCCTAATGATGGCCTTCCCCAGGAGCAGCAGGCACATGCAGGGAGATGTGCCTTCGTCTTCTTCAACAGGGAGGGACCCATAAACGTCAAACCCGCAACGTACAAGGAAAACAAAGGTAAGCAAAAGGGAGGAGGACTTTGTACAGGTGAAAAACATCAAAGTAAAAGTGAACCAGTATAAGGTTAAAAAACTTTGGTAAATGCAGAAAGAAAAAAGCTGAAACTCCCTGCATGGTTGTGATTTTTTCCTGAAGGAGTTAGGTAAGCTAATAAATTAATCCAACTATAATTTATTACCACAAGACTTACCATCAGGTTTTAAGGGCTCTTACAGTCTCTAATGTATAGGGTTTACATACCCGGACAAAATAGCACATAGATTTTCTGAAACACTTCAGGGAAGAAGACTTCCACAGACCTGACAGTAGGTTCTGGGGAAATAAATAAAACAAAACAAAACTACTTTGTGCTCCTTTAAGCAAGAACAGCCAAGTGCTACCTGCATTACTTCCAAACACTTCAATCACTCCAGGATGATGATGCCACCATTATTAGAATTCACAGAAATCCCTTATTTTCCTCGTTTTGGTACGCGTGTCCTGATTAAAAACCACTTTTCTCTGCCGGGTGGGTGGGCTGTGACAAAGCAATATATCTTCATGTAATAAAACATTTCAAGCCCATTTGGTATTTGTATGTGTTGCCTGACTTGGTTCCCTATTATCTGAGGAGCGCTGCAGAACCCAGTCTTTTCAGATGATTACACTATTGTAAATCACACCCTTCAGTCAACAATAGCAGTAATCTCTTGGGAGACCCAATCATAACAACTAACAAGCTGCTTAAACTGCTGCTAAGTACTGCTTGTGTGGTTGCATATGGTTTGAGACCTTTGAGATCACGCGAGTTGGGTATGCAACATGGCCTTCTCCGACACAGTAGCCTAAAATCAGTAATTGCTACATCAAAACTCACAGGTGGGCTGGGTAAGTTGGTTTTGAGGTTGGGTGCACCTGCTGTTCACAAGCACGTTCTCCAGGTGATATCCCCTCAGCTGCTTGCATGCCAACAGCTGCAGCTATCACTAAAAGCTGGTACACCCAGCTCAGCACCACAGACAACAGCACCTGGTTCACGGCTATCTGGAGTCTCCGTCAGTGTCCCAGACCTCACATGCAGCAATTATTCTTCTCTCATACGAAGAAATTGTTTGCAAGCCACTAACTGTGCACAGCACGTGTGAACAGCATCCCTTTTCTCTGCAGGCCTCGGAACCAAAGCACAGTTGGCATAAAACCAGAAAAGTAAAGAAAAGTTTCTTCGTGTAGAAACTTGTGCCAACACAGATCACACGCAAATTCTCAGCATAAAATCGTGGAGTTCTTGAGGGCAGCTCCCTACCCTTTAATGGGAAGAATGAGTAATGGGGAATGTCTTGAATTTTGGCTGTGACCCCATTTATACCCTAAGGGACAGCAGTTTTACTAGATGGCTGCTCGATTCCCTTCTGCCAGGGGGTGGAGATGGCTCTAGGAGGTCATCAAACACACGCACACTGCCTGCATGCTGTGCCTCAGCTCATTGGGTTCATGACTAAGAGGAGAGGGGACAGAACTAGGGATCTTTTAACGGACTGGTCTCTTGGCCCAAATCCCTCTCTCATCTTCCAGCCTAGATAACCTGGATCCCCATGTGCTCATAAAAAGGAAGGGAAGGAGAGACCCCACCCAAATGGAGGGATTAATTGTGCAAAACCTTCGGCTGCTTACAGAGCTGGCCAAGGGCAGCTGCAGAGCGAGCACCTCCCGTCCTGCGACTACAGCTGCCTCCCTCGCCAGGTGCCGAAGCAAAAGTGCTATAGCAAAGAGCAATCCTTTCCAGAATACCCTGTGGGTGATCCTTAATCCCCTGAAACACAAATATGGTGTTATGGTGGGTTTGTATTTGGAACAGAGAACATAACTGGACCGTAACTGCGAGATGTGTCAGAGCTGGTGATGCAGAGCCAACGCCTGCCATCGCTCTCATGCGCCCGAGTGCCTGCAGCAAATAGGCACAAGCCTCGTTCCCCTCGTGTCAAACAGGCTTTTGTTACTGGACCAATGGCCAAGCACAATCAGCCAAAAATTTTTGGCATCTAAGAGCCAAGAATTTTTGTTTGTAACCCTTCAAATCGTACCAGGCGAAACAAGAGAACTACAAAAATAAAATACAAATAACAATAAAAATAAATACAAACAATT